ATCTATCAAAGGTTTTGGGACATTATGGGAAAAGAAATCTATGGGTTTATCTATGACTTCTTCCAAAATAAAAGGTTTGTTGATTGTATAAATCACACATTCATAGCCCTTATTCCCAAAACTAAATCTCCCTTTAAAGTCAATCATTATAGGCTAATCAGTCTCTATAATATAATTTACAAAATAATTTCAAAGCTATTGGCCAATAGAATGAAGCCTCTGCTTGAAACCCCCACCAAGCTACGTTTGTTAAAGGGGGCCTTATTCAAGATCAAGATAATATTATTCTGGCACAAGAATTTTTTCACAATCTAAAAACCAAGACGTCAAGGAAAAATCACATGGCATTCAAGCTAGATATATCAAAGGCGTTTGACTCCTTGGAATGGGATTACCTTGAGTGGGTCCTCCTATCCTTGGGCTTCTCAGAAAGTTGGTGTGATTTGGTCAAAATTTGTATTTCCTCAGTTCAATTCTCTGCTCTTATTAATGGGACTGCGGAAGGTCTTTTCACTCCTACTAGGGGATTAAGACAAAGAAATCCCCTATCTCTCTACTTGTTTGTTATTGCCATAGAGGGCCTCTCTAGGCTAAACTTGAAAGCAAACATAGATGGCAAATTCCTAAGTATCAAAATAGGAAGGGAGGCCTCACCCGTTACCCATCTTATGTTTGTAGATGATGTCCTTCTTCTGGGTAGGGCTACTAGAGAAGAAGCAGCCGACTTTAAAGACCTCCTATCTCAATTTCAAGAATTGTCTAGTTTAACTATAAATTGGCAAAAGTCACGGGTCTACTCACTAAGGGGCGAAGATGCTTAGAAGGTAGTTAAAAATGAATTCCCTTGATGCCAATTGTAAATACCTTGGGATGCCCATCATCTAGGATCGGCAGAAAAAATCAGTCCTTTGGTTACTTGGTGGAAAAATTCAAAAACCAGCTATCAAAATGGAAGGCAAACACCCTCTCTTATGCTGGTAAGCAGACACTAATGTAATTGGTGCTTCATTCAACACCCATATACAGTATGGGTGCCTCTAAGCTTCCCCGGAAAAACCATTAATGAGCTGGAGAAGCTAATGAGACAGTTTTGGTGGAATGACAACAAGGAACAGAAGCACCTAATATGGTGCTCTTGGAATAAACTATGTACTCTAAAGAAGAAGGGGGCTTGGGGCTTAGGCCTAGGGAGTCGCTTCAGAAATAAACCCTTTTGTCAAAACTTGCCTGGAGATACATCACTAAGCCTCAATCTCTTTGGGTCAAAGTCCTAAAAGGCAGATATCTAATGGGCAGAGACCTTCCTAGAAAACCCTCTGCCACAGCCTCAAAAACCTAGAAAAGGCCTTGCAAGATCTATCCCCCTCATTAGGAGTGAAAGTCTGTAGTAACTCAACTTGGGGCTTGGGATTTCCAATAGATTCGATCAGAGAGGAACTTCATTGCTCCTTATGGGCCGAGCAAAAAAGATTGTAGGAATGTAATGATTAAAGATATCATCAATCAAGGTTCTAGTGAATGGAATAGGGAATCTTTCCAATATCTTTTTCTAGAGCATATCGATTAATTCTATCTGTCATACCCCCAATAAATAATTTTGATCACCAGGATGTCTTCATATGGACCAAAGCCACAAATGGAGTCCTTACAACAAAAAATTTCCATGATTCCTGTTGGGAGAATCTGAATTGCAATATATTGGGTCCTGAATCAAAATGGTTTAAATTCATTTGGAAACTTAAAATTCCCTCAAAGTTCAGATTTATTAGAAGCTTTATCCCCTACAGAGTCGTTTTAAAGAATAAGGGAATCAGAACCAAGAAGAAAGTATCATGCATCTCTTCATTTGACTATCCTTTAGAAAGAGCTATTATGTTTGCTAGTCCTTGGTCCATTTTGATACCAACAAGTATGTGTTCCTTTGCTGGAGTTTTTAATTTTTTTTTTTGGCTAGCAAGTTTGATAAAGAATGCTAGAAACCATAAGAAACAACACAGCCTTTCAAAAGGAGCAAAGAAGTATAACTTGGATCCTAAATCAAATCCCTTTTACATATGTTAGATCAATTCAATGAAATTGCTCAGGAGACGACCCCTAAACCAAATAATCATTTGATCCCCTTGTCAATCAAGAACTGAAGAGCAAAGCAAAGATGCTTACTTCCTAAATATTATTTGTGAAGGAGGATTTAATAACAATCGAGGTTCTTATGGCATTGTTCTTTTAGATGTTAATTTTAACTTTTTATGTGATATGGGTGACAGAATTGAAAATCCTTGTAGCCCAATGGAAGCTGAATGCATGGCGGTACTTCAAAGGTTTTTTTTTTTTGTTTTTTGAATGGAATCTACAGCAGCATTATCTTGATCAAATTAAGAACTTGTTAAATGATTTTGGCTCTGTATATATTATATTTAGGCCTAGGGATCGGACCCTTTCTTCTCACTTAACAGCCCAGGAGGCAAAACTATCTAGTTTCTTTTGTTGCTGGGACAACGTCCCTCCTTGGTTAGCTCTGAACTCCTGTAATCCTTTCTAAGCCAATAATATAAGTTTTATCGTTTGGCTTTCCATACCTCCAAAAATCCATATAACAAATAGATTGTCAATGATGACTTGTAATCGAAGTTTCGGTGAAATTGAATGAATTTTGTCTTCTGACCTTAAAAAAAATGTGGACAACTATCATTTATCTTAACTTGATGGTAATAATATTTTACTCGATGGCCCATTTACCCTTACCAAAGTCCAAACACCTCACATCGAAAAAAGCCCCGCTTGTATTGGGCCAATCCAAATTCCAAATTGGGCCGAACCTCAGCTAAGAATGGATGGGCTTTTATGATTTGCCCATCTGTACAACCACAATTAAGCAAATTTTTTCTTTGTAAAGTTGCATTTCAACCCAACGTCCAAACTCAGGATATGGATTATTAAACAATTCAGGAGTCAGGTTGGGTTTGGGATAGAAAAGGATTTTAAGGACGAGGATACCCAATACTGCCATTCTACAGGAATTAATGCTTAATCTTATTCTATACTTGTACAAGGAACGCTCCTAACAACCATTATGATTCATGATTCATCAACAAGAAGTTCATTACGAGGAACATTGCAATTTGCTTTATTATTACCATTATATTTCTTTCAACAAAAATGCAGTCATAATTAAAGAATCATGATTCATCGTCTGCATGTATATTTCGATCCGACGACAATGATAAAAGCAGTGATAGTAATACCCACCCAAATGCATCGTCCTCTTGTTCTTGTATCTTTTATTACAATTTGCAGAAAATCCATGAATCCACCGTTGAACTCGGTCTAGAAACCCATCATCTACCGATAATTAAGGTCTCCTTAGATTTTAGACAAATTTCTTATACTACCCTTATGGTTGAGCTAATTGATGAATTCTATTCATACTAATTATATATTGTCTTAAAGTTTCTGACAAATGATATAAATGCTAAGGGAAAAGAAACAAACTGTCGAATTTGCCTTATATTATTCTTCAAATTTTTAAAATAAAACCCAACCAATGAAAAATTTACTCTCCTCCGGTTGGTCATTGGCACCTCCAACGCAGCAGAAAGCAGGGGTGGGGACAACCTTTATCCCTCTTCCAACCCAATTCATGCAGTGCTCTCCGCTTAACAGCAAAGCTTCTCTGCTTCATCAAACAATGGCTTTCACATTAGTGTTCTCTCTCTTTCTCTCAAAACCTTCTACTCTTATATTGTCTGTTGAAGAGAAAAGAGAGAAGCAACTAACGACGGCTTCTGAGTTGAGTGGCAGTGAGAGTGGGTTTATTGGGACCAACTTCCCTTGACATCTGTTTAGCTTCGACAGTCATTCGAAATCCAGAGATGGGTTTATCAGAGCCGATAAGTTCTATTGACTGGGAGCAGGACCCACAGTACGATGATTTCAAAGTTCTTCCCTTCCTCGCAATCAACCTAATCAACCCACACAATAATTTAAAGAGCTAAATACATATAAAATCTGTCCAAAATTAATCAAGAAAATTTGAGACCTCAGTTGTACAAAGAAAAGCAAGGCGCCGGTTCACCTCTTTCTCAATAAACTTCGTGAAGAAACGCATGGGAGGTTCAAGGAGATTGGAGGGAAGTGGGTTCCAATAAACCCACAGTACGATGGGAGAGCTGTGGTCATCAGTAAGTAGTATCTTCCAAATTGCCACAGCTTCTGAGGCAGCAGTGAGCATCTCTGAAATTTCCATGTGGCGTGCACTATGGAATGACCTTTTCTCTCAGGTTTTTATGACTATCTATAGTTCTTACCCACACTACGATGATCTCCAGAAAGAAAAGGGTCGAGACGGCGCCTGCCATTTCTAGAGTTCAAGGAGATGGGAGATCAGATCAGGGACGCAAAGACGGATCTGGTTTTCAATGTGTTTAAGAAAAACGAAAAATTTGTGAAACGGAATTCTAGGGTTTCTTACAGCATTCTAATGCCTGTACACAGTTGGGAACAGTCGCCACCGCCGCAGACAGAGATAGAAAGCCAATAAACAAAAAAATCCCAAAAGATAGAAGATAGGAAACAGTAAGGGTATTTTAAAAATTTTAAAAAATTATCGGTCACATGTGAATAGAGTATGATGAAAAATTAACAGCAAGGAAGGTTTTAGACAATTGTTAAAAACAATAAGGATACCAGTATTCAATCACATTTCCACTTACTGAATAAAGATGAGGTGGGAATTTTTCAACTTTTTGACAGGTGGGTAAAAATTAACAGCAAGGAAGGTTTCAGCACTCAAATGCAGTGAAATTGACCAATTACCCAATTAACTAATTTACCCCAAACTAGATACTGGTAAACGAACGGGACCGAAGGGACAAAGGTAACCTTCTTTTACTGCCTTCCTGAAAGCTTACTTTGGAGATCTCAGCAGCAGGGTTGGGCACATTATACAGTAGAAACTCAAGCTAGTTCGTCCTTAAGTGTAACACAACTGGAAAAAGTAGAAATGTCCAAAAACTCAAAATGTATACAGATCTCCAAGTTGGGTTGCCCTCCAATGCAAGTCTACATCATGTATTATGACTCCAGCGGCCGCCGAGTGAGTTTGATAAAAAAGCATAGCCAAAGCTTCTTGCCAATCAAGTCCCTCAATATACAATCACATTATATTTTCCTACCAAAAGAAATATACACAATCACGTATTTAGATGAAGGTAGAGTTACACAAAAAAATAAAAATAGAATACAGCATACTCATAGAAGCAGCTATCAGTCTTGGATCACATCAAAGCATGACTCAATAAAATGAATCATGCTTGATACTATGCACTTGTTAAATAAATTTGTATAAGCAACTTCTTCCTCCCAAGGGATCTGCTTCCGGTTCTTTCCCACATTAGTAGAAGCTGAAGCCTTGGTCAACCCAGAAAGACCATCATTTGCACAGGACTCTCGAAATTAATTCAATTTCTTCCCCATAACAATAGCAGCTGAAGCCCTAGTGGATTCGAAAGACGGCAAGACCAGCATTTGCACAGGGTTTTCCCCATATCAATGGCATCTGAAGCCTTTGTGGACCCAGCCAGACCATCATTTGCGCAGGACTCTCAGAATTACCTCAAGTTCCTCCCGATATCAATAGCATATGAAGCCTTTGTGGACCCATCAAGGCCATCATTTGCACAGGACTCTTAGAATTACCTCAAGTTCTTCCCCATATCAATAGCAGCTGAAGCTGTACTGGACCTGGCAAGACCATCATTTGTGCAGGACTCTTGGAATTACTTCAACTTCTTCCCCATATCAATAGCAGCTGAAGCCTTAGTAGACCCAGCAAGAACATCATTTACACAGGACTCTTGGAACCCGCATGCCAAATCCATGTTTTGCCTTCTGAACTCTGTTCAGAAATCCAAAAAGGTCATTCTTCAGATGGCAATGTAAACCGGCTAGTTCTTAAGTACAATTTATTTCTACAGATTCTTTTATGGTTCAATATTGTGTCTTTTAATGAAATACTTTCAGTTACTTATAAAAAAAAATACATAGCTGAATTACTAACAGCAAATTGATAATTGATCTTAAGAAGAAAGTTAACTTTAAAGTAAAATTCTCTTTTTCATTTTCTCCTATAGCAGTGCACAGACAATAAAAGGCAAGAATATGTGTATGACAAGTACCCCCAAACCTAAGCGAATTCATGAAATTCAAGGGATGCTACAAATATCCACATTAATTGGGTGCATGCAATCACACAACTTGGGGGTCTGGGTACATCGTCAACTCATGAGGGAAGTAACTTGCTTAGCAAAGGAGGTTGGGGTGCGATTCAGGTGAACAAGAAGATCAGCAAATGGATTAGCTGACACCCTGGCAAAACAAGGAACTTTCAGGGAGGACTTGTTTTGGGATATTTTGCAATATGAAAACTTTCTTCTAAGAATCAACACCCTTATCTTGGGATTGCTTCCATTAGAAAACACCTAAAAAATATTAAAAAAATGGATTCGACTATGATATGGAAAAGATATGATATCGAAAAAACAACTGACCAATAAATTGGAATCATAAACGTGGTAGCGAATCGGGTGTCATTTATCAAAATTCATAGGTGGGTTTTGATTGGTCAAAACTCTTTCCATATCATGTCTTTTCCGTATCATAGATTTTCCCTAAAAAATATATGCAAATGTAAACAACAGATATCAAAAGAAAAAAAACATTAATTTGATAATATTACTGAATTCATATTTTACTATTTTTTCTCAACTATTGCTACCAGTTAATGAAATTTGTCGAACAAGTCCCTTTTAGAGTTGACTAGAATCAAGGTTCTATTCAGAACCAACTTATATGTCAGAGGTCCAACCACAGGCATGTTTAATCTCTCTGTTCCAAAACAATTTATGCTGTGCTAAATTGTGTCTGACATTAGAAATTTCCACCTCACCAAATGATCTTTCAATTTGCATAAGGATTTAAAAGAGAAGAGTTGGATTAAGTTTGACAGTGATGAAAATAATTAGCCTTGAAATTGATAGATGGTCCGACAACAATCAACAGCCTAAAAGTTGGTGACTGCCATTGAGGCTTGAGAGAGGGAACAGAGATGTTGCAACGTTGAAGATAATGAGAACTGAGGACCCATGAGGTTGCCTTTCATGGGCTTCTTATTGTTATGTTTTCCTTATTTGGAATGCACCTTGGTCCTTACAAGTATCTACCAATTTTCCTGTGTCATACCCAAAAAAAAATGCAACTAAAGACAGATATTAAAGAGCACAGAAATGAGAGGGAGCTTCTACACATCATTTCAACCTGACAAATAATTCATATTTTATTGGCTACAGGAAGATGTATGAAAGTTGAATCATAAGCCAGGAAGCAGAACAGAATTGGTCATGACTTAGGTATCAAATAACCAGATCTTTCAATTTGGAAGGGTTTTGGAACTTACGTTGGGGCAAGTTTGCCAAGGCTCTTCAGCTCTTCACCAGAGTCCTCATCCAAAACTCTGCCAGAGATCTCAATAATATAAGATTTACCTGCAGTATTTGGAAGCCCCCTGCTAACAAGTAAATCTAGATCTTTCTGATGAAGTTCTCTCCCATTCACAAAAACCCCGGTATTTCCACCAGCACAGTTCTTAGGCATGGGAATATTGAATTCTTCAATAAATGGCTGCAACAAAAATGACAATACTTGATTAGTAGAATCGTGAAAACATTACTAAATTCTGTCCAACAATGATTTGTTAAAGAATTAGTTCAACTTACAGGAATTATGCCAAGACAAGGATGGCCCATCACACCCCAAAATCCACAATTGAAGTCATACCTAATTAAGGAAGGTAAATATCACAAGACTGTAAGTATCTTTGGAAAAGCAAATAATGTAAAATTTGAGAGAGAAATTGCAACCTAGTCGCTTTTTAACACAACTACAAAGAGGATTACAGAGTTTTCATATGACATGACAATTTATTGAAACTTTCTCAAAAACTTATTATATGCAACATGTGCTGGATAGGTGAAAGCATTATTATCAGGATAAACAAGGAATTATCCTTTTCTCTTACTTTCTCTCTTGATAACTTTTATGCTACCGTCCATACAAGGCATGTATGGATGTGTCTCAAACAGTACCATATTAACAATATCAATGCAACCAATGCAAAATATAATAAGTGAAGAAAAGTGGTCTCCATAATTGAATATGCTTACCAGTATTGTCCAGCCTGAATTGATCCAGCTTTCTTCTCAGCCTTTTTAACCAAATGATCTGGTATAGGCTTCCCATTAACTGAGACATTACTTCTGTCATTCTCTGCTGTTTGATTAGATCTAGAAAAGTCTCTAAAACTCTTTTTTATAAGACCCGCAAAGAACGATTGACCCCCCTTATTGATCCTAGGTAGATCTCCGCTTACATCTCCAGAATCCTGAGACATCCCAGTATTTGAGTAACCATTGAATGAAACCTCTGTCTCCGTTGCTGCTGATGCATCTTGTATGGAATCTTGTCTGAAAGTATCCATATTAGAAATCACCTTCTCATGATCTGATCGTTTACTCAAATTTCCCTTTCCAAATCTGCTCACAGCACGACCAGCAGATGAAAAATCAAAATGCTCCTGAAGAGGTGAACCTGGAAGTGGTGGAGTCAGGCTAGCTTTCAGAGACAGCTCCACTGAGCTGGATACGTCTGTCTGAGCAATCACGCTATCATGGCTCTCCATGTCCTCAGAAGAACTGGATGATGAAGAGTGTAGGATATGGATCTTCTGAGACTTGTTCAAATCCAATGTTGGGTCATTTGATGGAAAAACTTGCTCAGTATCCATGGACTGAAAGTTATAACCTGAACTGTCGTAGTCTTCAGAAGAGTTTATGCCATCCAGTTTGACATGGTTATGAGAATCTGAACAACCTTTAACCATCTCACCTGAGCTATTTTCAGCATCTGGAGATATTTGCAAAATTTGTGTGGTCTGTGCAGAAACAGAAACAACAAGCCTCTTGTTCTCAACTGCTAGTGACATTATTGTAGAGCAAGCACCACACCTCAGTTTCTGTTGATTAGTCTTCACCAGAGAAGGTCTTCTTGGCAGTTGTAGCAATGCAAAGCAACTGTAGCAAGTTATAAATGGTGCACCACCAGCTATGGGACGACAACGGTGCCCCGTCACATTTGCTATCACCATCCCTCCTGAATGGGCCCGGCCAAAATCATCCATGTCCAAATCAGGGCCCCTTGGCCTTCTTGTATGGAACTGTGGTTCAAGAGAATGCCATGGAGGATCAGCACCTTTGGGAGTGTAACCTGGTGGACCAAATGCACTAGGGGTCTCAAGCTGATTGGACATGGGATCAATTGGGGCATTGGAGAGCCTTCTATTACGGGAAACTGCAGCTGCAGGCTGTGCTGGTACTTTCCGATGTTTGTTATAGCACTGTAAACAAGAACATGCTGGATGGTGAAAGAAGGTATTATGGGGATAGACAGCCATAGGATCAGAATCAATATCCATGTGGTTCCCAGAAAAGTAATCATGGGATGGTCGTTGGTCATATTGGCGAGGGAACTGGTCGGGAGTTCTTCTGAGCATCGGTGGCCCAAAAGGGTCCCTGTATCCTGCAATGTCATTTGGAGCATGCATTGGTGGAGGATAATAGTTCTGCAAATCCACATCAAGCCTACTCATCAATGGAACAGATTCATGGCCATGGTTAAAACAAGAGGGCCTTGGAATGTGATTATCTGGAAAAAAGGGCTGCCTAGAAGACCTACTTGATCCGGCCAAGCCCTCAGGAAACCAGGGATCACGTCCACCATAAAGATCTGGATGGGTCATCCTTCTATCCACAGCATGCCTTTCTTTCGGCTTATCCAACACATCAAAAGATCTATTAAGTTGATCCTTCAGCTCATCCAGCTTTCTTAGAAGCTCTGCACGATCTTGTTCAAGGTACTCAACTCTTTTATACCCATCTTCATTGCCCTGGTTCCTTATGGACTCAGCATAGCCATAAGAAGAAGCAAGGTGGTAGTTCGAAGGGCCTTCCTCTGGATAGAAGGAATTTGAATATCTCAAACCTTCAACTACAGCCCTAGGGGGTCTTCTAAAAGCCAAAGACCCATCTCTTTCCCCACTCCGCCGCCAATCTTGAGCTTTCCGATGTCCCTGTAATCCATTTGCATTTTCAGTTTGGGCTTCAACTTCTCCAATTTCTTTATCCGTGCGAGGCCTAGAAAATTCATCCACGTTCATATTGATTCTCTCATCACCCTCGGCCGGAGCTTTTGAAGGATGCGTATACCTACTACCACCATCGCACCCAGCTTCCTTCTCTGCACCCATATGGTTGAACATGAACACCAAGGATTCAACCCCCCTCTCTCCGTTATAATCGCTGGTATCCTCCCTGCTTTCAAGCGTAAGCGAAGTACTAGTGTTTGAATTAAAAGACTTTTCTGGCAAGGATTTCTCCCTTGACCTCCTACGCTCCAATCCATAGCTCTCCCTTCCCGTCTCCGAGGCGGCGTCAGTCAAAGTAACTCCACTCTTCTGGGAGGAACTCTCCAGTTTTGCAGAATCATCATTTCCTCTAACCCTCTCTTCTTCCGATAACCCATCAGTTGCAGATGTTTGATTGTTTGCTGTATTTACAAAGCAAGAAAAGGAAAAAGGCAAACTTCTAATCTCGCAATTGCTTTGAGAACAACAGGAAATAAAGAAAAGAAAATATGCAATAAAAAGGGAACGGATAGTAGCGAAAAGGAAAAATAAACAGAGGATTGCAGAGGGGAAAATAGAGGCAAAAAAGGAATAGGTAAAAGAAAAACATAGGAGAAGACGGTTGCTTTGCGTACCTCGAAGAACAGCACCGCATCCACCACATCGATATACCGAATAATCAAGGACCTCCGGTAGAAGATTCTCGCACCTCGGGCAGCGAACAACTCGGACTTTAGTACCTTCTGCCATATTGAAGAATAAAAGGGAAGCAGAAGCTTTGAAGAGCAGAAATTCTAGAGGAGGATCTCAAAGAGTCGAAGCAACATATGAATCCAGCCCTCAATTTTATAGGGCGAAAGCATTGAAGCAAAGAAAGCAAAGATGGTATTTGAATGTGTAGTTCATAAAATCCATTTTCAAAACACTAGTGGAAATTTACAGGAAACAGAGGCGTGCAGATCACAATTGGGAAACTTAAAAGAGAAGAACCTTCGGAATCATGGAAGATATATGGAATAAAAAACCAAGAGAAGGCAGTTGCCCTTGCCCATTAAAAAAGTAAGAGAGGATAGTTTGTTAAGAAATCAGAGTTGGGAAGCTCCATGACATTTTCCAAGTCTCAAAGAGGAGGCAAAGGAGAAAAAAGAAAAAGACAGAGAGATCAAAGACGGAGAAACGAGGAAGGGAAGCTTTTTAAACTGCGATTTACTGACAAAAGGAAAAGTTTGGACTTTGTAGGGAATAAGTGGGAGCGGTTCCCAACGCAAGCAGAAAAACAGCTAAAAAAGGATGGAGAATGAAAAAACTATATATCGAAAGAGAAAAGTAAAGCGAGCAAGGCTGAAAAGAAAAAGATACGGAGAGAAGAAGAGGGAAGCCGGGAAGCGCATTAGAATGACACAAAAAATATTAGTTATCTGTGCAGCAAAAAGAAAGAAAAAAAGGCAGAGGATTCGTCTTATGTTTAATTATTAATTTAATGATAAATCGCCTATGGCTTTATAACCAATCGTAATTCTTCTATGTAAAAAAGAGTGATAAATTGCATCATTGCTAATGTGACTTTAGTAGAAACGGATTTAGATTGTTGTCGTTGTAATTCTTTTTTCGATTACTCAATTCATAATAAGGGGGGGTTTAGACGGCCATTGTTACAAGAAGAGAATATGGATAATTATTGATGTGGCCAAAAAAGAGTAATTTCATATTTTTCTTTTAAAAAATTAAATCATACATCATCACATGACGTAGATAAGGATAAAATGCTAATTACCAAGGCCGTGTTTGGTTCATTGTACTAGGTCTCATTCTTTTAATTCTAGTTTATTCTAAGTAAGAATGGGCAACAATGAATAACATTAGAGTGTTTAGTTATAAAATTCTAGCCATACGCCACATTCTTTTTAGATTGAAAAATCAGCCCCATAGCATAACAACTAAGTAGTTTGCAGCATGAAAAATAATTATACCCCATCTTGCTCATTTTTATTCTTTGAGGAAACTCTATCTACAAATCTGTTGCCATAGATGTTTACTTTTATGAAAGAAATTTTATAAAAATACCTTTAAGAAAGTACTTTTACACGAAAGCACTTTTTATAAAAATACTTTTATATGAAAGCACTTTTATAAAAGTACTTTTGCAAAAGTAAAGTACTTTTATTAAAACACTTTTATAAAATTATTTTTACATTAAAACACTTTTATGAAAAAACTTTAATAAGAACACTTTTATAAAAGTACTTTTACTAAAACACTTTTCTTTACGAAAGTACTTTTATAAAAGCACTTTTAAGGAAGTATTTTGTACAAAACATCTATGCCAACTGGTAAACATTGATTGTCAGCTATCCACCGGTACGCATCTATGCCGATAGTTTTAGAGGCCTAGGCTGACAGTTTATGAATATCGACTGTTTTTTTTATTTTTTTTTAAGAATGAAAATGAGCAACATAGGACACTTGTCAATCAGAAAATAATTCATTTTTAGGAAAAAAAAGTGTTTGGTTCATAGCAATATTTTCTCATTCTGCCTATTTTTACCTATTCTTGTCCATTTGGATGAGGAAGGCACGAAGTTGTAAGCATGTTCAATAAGCACTTGAAAATTTTTTTGACACCCGTCCCTTAAAATACCCTCCCCCCCACCTTTGAAAAAGATTAATACCTACTTTTGACAATTGTCAAATTATTTATCAAGTGCTTATTTAATGTGCTTACTTTGATGTGCCTACTAGATCTGGTCCCTTAATATTCAGGTATTAAAATAAGTATGTGTTTGGAACCGTGGGCGTTTATTCACTAAACGTTTATACTTGATTTGTTTGCAAAACCAAGAAAAACAATAATGAACCCGTTTATTCACACTTAAACACCATTAGGCACCATATCAGCAAAACAATGAATAAATGCCCACTCATTGGGGGAAGCACTAAAATGAAACTTCCCCCAATGGTAGGCACACAGATAAATCAATGATTGTTTTCACAATTCTCTATACATATGGATCCACATAATGGGAAAATGATGAAGTGGCACCTACATAGCAGTGTTTATTCAATAACTGAACAAGATTCCAAACACCACCTTAAGATTAGCCCCAAAATACAAATCCTAATATACAATTAACCTTAATATAAATGGATTTATACCATATGTAACAAGGATATAGATACAATTGGAACGTGTAGGAAACGCTGAGGGATGATAATATAATAACGTATTCTTTGACTCTCTCACACAAACCTTTAACCAGCTTAGCAAGTTGCCTCTACGAAGAAAAAAATAAACCAAATATACAGTAATTTAATAAGAACAGTAATAGTAGTAATAGAAAAATAAGTGTTCCTTTTATTTGTCTTCTTGAGTTAAAAAAAGGCTTTCATTCATCTTAGGGGGCATTCTTTTTTTGTATTTTGAGAGGGGAAAGTTGGTTAATGGGATTTTGGTTCCTATTGACCAAGAATACAATATTCTTTTTTTAGATTAATGTGGGGAACAGGGAAAGTTTATTTTCCTGAGTACCACTTATCCGGGTAAGAGACACCCATCTCATAGGTGGATAAATAACTTTTCCACTTAGAGGAAAAGATTTCAACACTTAAATGGGACAAAAATGTCCCATGTCCCATTTTAATAATGTATTTTTATGACTAAAATAGTTATTTTCTTTTTTACTGGAAAAATAAAAGAACATAGATAAATATACATACCTAGATAAGTATTTTCCAAAAAAAATTATCCAGATAACTACATTTACCCAAATAAATAACTTACCAAAAAACAAACAAAGCTTTAATCATAAATTTCAGAAGATACAATGGTTGTCAAAAAGTTGGGACAAACCGAGGAAGTAACAATAGAGTTACAGCCAAGCGCAAACTTAGCAATGTTATGGGCAGCCATATTAGCTTTGCATTGACTGAAAATGAGTATATATAGATGATGATGATGATGATTAAGAAGCCACAAGGTATTAATAAGAACAACTCGAGAGTAAACATGGTGATCATATTCCACTCATCTCTAATTAATAATAATTCCAGCTCCAGCTTTATCTTCCCCCCACTGCTCCATCAACCTTGGAGGTAGGAGCCTTCTAACTTTGGAGTTTATTTTCAATTTTGTCAATAAGTAACATCCATCCACTCCCCCTTAGGATCGGTGACTGCATACTTAGTTGCACGCCATGCGTCCATGCCTTGTCAATTACTAACATTTACACTTGTTTTACTATCACTATATTGCAAATTAAGGATTTGTTATTGAGAGTTTGCTTGATTAGGATTAAAAAATAAATAAAGGGTAAAAGACTTAAATATATCCTGAGTAAATAAATTAAGTCAGTTTTCATAAATTGACTTAAATATATCCTGAGTTTTTTAAAAATACTTCAATATACCTTATGAACTGATTTAAATTTTTTAAAACCCCATTTTACCCTTTTGCAAAGAAAAAAAAAAGGAAAAGTGGGATGAAAAAAGAAGAAAAAAAAACTGCTGAAAGAGAAGAGAGAAAAAAAGGAAGAATTGAATTCTCAAGAACAGAAGATATGTTCCACTTCTTAAGGAGAAGATGATTTTAGGCCAAGTTGATGGAGGCCCATCACAAGAAAGCCCATCGCACCCCTAGGGGCGGCAGCTCTAGGATAAGGATAAGGCAAGAAGTCAAGATAGAGAAAGAGCCAAGATTATCAAGATTAGTCCAATAGAGATAAGCAAGAACAACTCAAGACTCCCAAGACTATCAAGATTAGCAAGATAAGGCAAGACTCTTCCAAGACTCTTCGAAGATTATCAAGAAAGACTCCAAGAAGCATCAAGATTAGCAAGATAATCCAAGATACATGCATCTAGGGAGATCRAACGRTGGAGATCAGGCAAAGAGGAATTCGATCCTATCTAGATTAGATGTTTTGATTTATCCTAATTGTTCTTTCCCAGTTCTTTCACAATTTCCAGTTCTTTTACAATTTCAATTTTCAGATGTATTATAAATACTGCTATTTTCCAGTTAATGAACACAATTCATACTTCCGATTTTCTTGAGTTCTCTTCGTTGAGTTTTCGCCACCTTTTCTCTCCCCTAGAGAAATCGGTGTTATTCGCTAGGTGCTAGCGAACGCCCGGTGCTTGCATAGCCAGCTCCGGTTCTCATTGCTTCCACGCTGCATCAGGTGGTATCACAACAGGGAATTCGCCCAGTCATGTCCAACCCAGACGGTAGCAGTCGCAACCCACCCCGTGACGGAGATCAGGGGATTCCAGCTGTTTGGAGAGCAATCGAAGAACAGCGTACAGCCACACGTAACATCGAGCAGCAGTTGGCAGAGATGGCTGAACAACTGCGAACCTTATTACGGGAGGTTGTCCCACGGAACTGAGAAAATCCACAGCAGATCGAAGGAGACAACCACGACAGACCACCCATCGCTACTACGTCCCGACGTCCAATTCTTGATGACGACAGTGATGATGATTTCAAATTTGGTGGTGCTCCAGTTCTTCCCGGCAACAACAAAAACGGTAGAAATTGGCACAATTAAGGTAATTTCAATCCCCATAGGAATAATGATGAATTTAAACTCAAGGTAGATATTCCTACATTTAGTGGAGATCTTGGTATAGAGGGACTTCTAGATTGGATCACAGAAGTCGATAGGTTCTTTGATTACATGGAGATATCAGAGGAACGAAGGGTAAAATTGGTAGCTTTCCGATTAAAGGGAGGCGCATCTGTTTGGTGGGAATGGATGAGAGAGACCCGGATGAGAGAAGGAAGGGGTCCTGTTCGAACCTGGAGGCGCATGAAACAATTAATAAGAGGTAGATTTTTACCTCCTGACTATGAACAATATATGTTTGAATCTTATCAGAGGTGTGTGCAGGGTTCTCGTAGTGTTACCGAATATACATATGAATTTTTGAGATTAGCTGAAAGAAACCAATTATCTAAAAGTGATAACTAGCAGGCAGCCCGTTATCTAAGTGGTTTGAGACCGTCCATCAGAGACAAAATTGGTGTACAAATGGTTCTTAGTGTGCAGGAAGCAAGGAACTTAGCCTTGAAAGCAGAAATAATGTTCCAGGACAAGGCACGCAATGATAATTATCGCCGGTACAGCAAGAGCGACAACAAACCGACAACTGTCGACTGGAACAAATCAGTCCCAGCAACAACCTTCTCACCCGGCAAGTACAAGTAACGCCGGTAAGGCTACTACAGGAGGACATACTCAAGGTAAATCTTCCAATCCTCCTAAACCCAATAACCCTTATGCAAGGCCTGCTCCTATTAAATGTTTTAAATGTAATGAGGTTGGACATAGATCCAGTGACTGTCCTAGGAGGAAGGTAGTTAATATGG